AACACTTCTCCAGTAGTTGAACTAATCACTTTCTTAATATTCCAACTTCTCGCTTCATACACTGTTTACGTATACATTTCACTGCCGATTTACTTCGCTTCTCAACTATTCACTTCACATCGAATCATTTCTCCCTTCACTAACTCCCAAACTCGCGAATACAGAATATATATATTAAACTTAATTTGCATAACCACGCTTCCTGTCTTCGGAGAAAGTTGGTTGAAAAAATGCTGGCCCAACAGGAATTCCCAAGAGGTTAGTAAAAGGAACCGTATAGATCCGTCACAAACTTAAATAGAAACTTTCATTTACATAAAACCAAGTCATCTATCTCTACGGAAAGCGGTTTTCAACTAAAATCACAGTTAAAAAGAGTATATTACCCAAGAGGATTAGTGGAAGTCCGAATAGAACCGGTTACACAATTAACATTAGGGAACATTAAATTACTAGTGCTATGAAGACTTAAATGTATACTTTATAATACAATAACTAGTTTCAGGTTCTTTTTCTTTAATTTAACACCTTTAAGTATCATTAATAATGAACTCTCTAATATCGTTTATTCGTGACAAACTTTCTAATTCCGTTCATTCGTAACAAATGTTTTAACTTCGTTAATTTAGTTCTTTAATTTATCTGTGAGTGAGAGAAAATTCAATTCAAAAATATTGTAATGAGCAGCATAATTTTGATTGGTTAGTTTCAATTACCGTCACTTTGAAATAAACTGATTTACAAGTATTTGCTTTAACAGATATAGACGACAAAACTTAACCCTTCAACTGGTTTGCCCCGGGCTACCAAAAGTTGGCCACATCTGGTTTGCCCGTACGTTGTACGGGAACTGATATTTTCGTTTTTTTTTATCTTTGGGATTTGCAGATATTTTAAATTCTTATGGTGATATTATTAGTGGTAGTATATTTGTAAGAGATGCAGTTTGTCCATGGTACTGTAATACTTCTCATCCGGGATTTTCTTTGAGATGAAATCGGGAATTTTTCCTTAAAGGCATGAATTAAGGTTCTTGAACATGTTTTACTATAAAAAACAGGGATTCGCAAGGCAATGTGAAATTTGTTACTTGAGAAAAAATGAAAATGGAAAGATAATCCAAAAAGGCCGATATTATCTCTGTTCCCATTGCAATGTGAGATTTAGTAACATATCCTTTTATTTAAATGCCTTTAAACTGTGTGTATATGCACACACACACAAAATCCCCAACCTTTTGAAAAAGAGGTACGAACACACACATGAAATTTTTTGTAAGTATGAGAGAAATTCTTCTAAGATATAGGAAACATTCTTCACAACATGCAGAATGTACTGATAAAAGGCAAAAATTTAGGAATTTTTGTGCTCCACTATTATAAAATTAAAAAAAAAATAGCGTGGAAACTTCAAATTTGAAAATTAAAATAAAAATCTTCGATTCTCGCATTCTGTTAAGTATTATGCTTAGTAAAATGAAATAAAAAAAATGTGCCCTTTTTTGGAACATTTTGGGCAAAAAAATTGAGAGCTTAAGGGGTTCAATCTTGTCTATTTTTAAAGATTGAAAAATATTTCAAAATATGTGTTCTGATCACACTGTTTTGTAGGAAAAAGAAACATATTCTACATGAATGCGTTCCAAATATCAAGCTTAAGTACAAAATTTGAATCACAGAGCTTTCTTTTCCTTAAATATTCTTATTCAATTTTATGTGACATGATTGCCTTACTTCAAGGCTTGAGTACATTAAAGAGAAACAAAATGTTTCTAAAAAAAATCGATAGTTTTTGCACAAATTAATAAACAATTTTTTTTCCTCTCAGACTCTTTTATATTTAGCTACTAGCTTCAAAATAAACTTTGAATGGAAGCATTCTATTAAAATGTTAGCAAACTATTTTGAGATTCTCATATGTTAATGTGAAGTTTCAAAAAAATTAATGATTACACCCGTAAAAAAAATGAGTTTTATTTAAATATGTGTCCTCTTTTAAGCTTTACACTTTGCATAACATAATTTTTTATACCTTGAATTTTAAGGGACACAGTACTATTCAATCGACAAAAATTGGTCAAAAAATCAAATCTAATTTTTTCAGCCTAAATAATTTTTTTATGTACTTTTCTACAAACTCATAAAGTTTGAAAGCTCATAAACTCATAAAGTTTAAAAAACGCGGATTTGTGATAGCTTTGAGGTTCGTTTTTATTCTTATCCCTGTAGCAAATCAAAACTTTAAATTGACTTATTTCAGAAAGATAAATAACTAGTTTGCCTTCATTTAAAATACTAAGGCCTTTTATTTATTGTGCCTAATACTCGGAAATGATTTTCACTTGTTGCTAATAGTTCATGGAACAAAAGTTGATATACATTTTTAAATCAAAGCAATACTTATTTTTTAAAAAATTATTGAATGTATAATTTACTCATTTCTTAAGGAATTTTCAATAGGCATTCATAAAAAGAAGTATTGTACGAATACCAATCATGTTATAACAAAACCCATACCACCTTTTGGGATACATAGTGTGGCGTGCCTGTGAATAAAACTTCATATGTGTACGTTGATTTTTTCAAAAAAGGAGCAGCATTTTAAAATAACTTCATAAATTTAAGTTTTTTCTTAAAAAATTAAATGGCTAGCTTTTCATGAAATTTTGAGCACAAAATCTGTTTTACATAATATACGTACATAGGAGGGAACCAAAAAAATTTTGAAAATCCTTAAATTAAAAATCTTTGCGTAAATCGTACCAAGAGCGAAATGGAACGTTGAGCAAAATTGAATTTATTCAATAATTAGTTTTAATATTTTAATTTTACTAAGGGATAATTTAATTTGCTTGCTTCAGTATTCTAATGTCTCACCTGCTAAGCAATTGGAGTCATGAGTAAAATTTAATTCTTCAAATAATTACTCTTAATCATTTAATTTTTATTAATTGTAATTAACTTATCGTATTGTCATACAAAACAATCACGTAGGGAAAATTTCAGCTCAATTAAGCTGTTTAAAATGTGAGAAAAGCTTTTAAAGTCTTGACCCAGACATAGTTACAGCGTGAGTAGAAGAAACCCATCAAAAATGTGTATTAAGTACTTTATTATTTTATATTTATTCTTTACATTTAAACAGGAAATGTGTCTAACTCTCAACGTAACTAACTCATTGGGAAGTTTAAAGTAATTTAAATTTTAGATTTACATGATTGATTCTTTTCGAAAACAATTTAGAAATTAAAATTAAGTACTTTAAGATTAATCAGCTTCTTTTAACTGAGTGTTTTTTATTAAAAAAATTTTCTGTGAAAAAAAAAGAAAAGAAAATTGTAGTTGCTTCAATTTTTGTTTTCAAAGGACAAAATTTATGGCATATTTTACATTATTTCATTGATCAAACATCTTATTCCTCTACAAGTTCTTTACATGAACTTTTTTTTTTAATTTTTAGTTTTGGCTTTTCAATTTACTCAAACCTTCGAACTACTATAAATATTTAAATGCACGGAGATAGGACATATATATTTAAAAGGAGAAAACGTGATATTTACATTCGATCTGTTAATGAAGCTCCACTTATATATTTATTGTCTAAGCCTTGCTAAAACGATAATTTATAAAATGCTGAGCGATTTTTCACATTTGTAGAACGTTTCGAATTTCTAGTTGGTTAAAAGCCTTATTTAAAAGAGTTTTTAAAAAAAATAAGATAGTATCACCCACACATTTCCCCCTCTTTCATATGTTCGGAAAACTCATGGGAATTTCGATCACGAAATATACAAATATAAAAATCTAAAAGTAGCTTTTTCTAACTAGCTTAATGGTGTATTATTAATTTATGTTAATGTATGACTGATTAACATCCTGTTATATAATGATTAATTTTGATTAATTTTTATATTAAATGAAAACGCAAGTGTGGAGTTCTTAAAAGTAACAAAGTATTTTGTTTTTCCCCCACAGATACTCCAGTAAGCGTAAATGTTAGCATTAGAGATGCAAATATACGTTCCATAGATGAGTCAGATATGGTAAGTTGCTAAGTACTTGTATACACGTAACTGCTGTTATGTATATGAAAAAGAAAAAAAAATGGTTATATTACCTTTCGCTTATAGATTCTGTTGTATCCTATTTTAATGCACCCTTGGCTCAAAAATAATTTGGCGTCAAAAATAATTTTACCAATATGCCACCCGTAATTGATGGCAAGCGGATTTTAACTTCTAAAGTTCTATCAGGCAATGTCTAATGTAATAAACTGTTTTATAATTCTGTGGTCCGTCTCCTAGAAGGTACAACCTCAAAAACTCCTGCATTATCATAATTTTAATAGAGTATTACTTATTTATATATACATTCTCTACATATGTATGTGTTTCATCCCGGTACTTATGTATTAACCGTAAGCCCTTTTGCCAAATCAAACTGCGTCGCCAAATGCTGTTATAGTTTCCGCACATTAGGCGAAAATAAATACCCGCGTATACTCTTTCCGTGTTACCACTTCGGCAAATAATTTGGCGAAGTTTACGAAGAATTAAATAACGCATTTTAAAAACAAGCCTGTACACTTGAAATAAATGAAAGATATAATAACATCTAGATTATTCAAGTGGCCAAAATGCTATAATTGCATTCAAAAGTTCGGCAGATGCATCTTCCTCTTCATGTAAACTACGCCACTTAATCTCGCATAAATAGGAATTTAAATGTTGTAGTACAGATCCACGATACTTTGCCGTTTTGCCAAACCACATAGTCTTTCGGGTATTAACTTTTTTCACCGAAATATTTCACTGCATTATCTTTCGTATAAAATTCCAAATTTTAATTATTTTTATTATAGTAATTATTTGATTATAGTTATTATTTTCGAGAATGCACAGTCAAGAATATTATGCTTTAACGTGCTCGGGAACAGTACAGCCAGCCTATAAAAAAAAGGTTATTTTTTCGCATGAGCGAAAAAAAGCGCTCTGTTTGCCAACGGTCATACCAAGTAAAAAACCTCGGTTTTTATCCGATCACCGAAGTTAAACATGATCGGGCTTGGCCAGTACTTGGAAAGATGACCATCTGGGAACACAACGTGCCCTTGGCATTTTTAAAACACACACAGACCCAGAATTTATCTAAATTATTTAATTCCAATTCTTTTTAATTCTTTTTTTATTCAATTATTCCTTATATTAAAATTTTTCTTATTTTTCTCATTTCTGCTCGTACTAAAGATAATCTTTAGATTTTGCCGTTGAACTTGCTCGAACTCATAACTACTCAATGATTGATCGAGCTTCTTTTCCCAACTTAAATCTAAAAATAGCTAATCATTTTTATTAGCCAATTACAGAAGCTCCTCTCGAGACCAATGTGGACAAAATTTTTCCATCCAAATTTTCCTCATCTCACACTCGGATTTCTTTCCTGTAACCGGATTGTGTGGCTAGGCTCGTCCCGCTTACTCCCAACTTTAAACTCCCATAACACATGTAATTAACGAATTTAATTCTAGTTTTTCTTTATCTATAGTAATTGTATTTTTTATCATGATATTCAACTGTTAAAAAGGGCAATTTGAAAGCTTTTACGAGGGTAACTCTGAAATTTTTGAGATACGCTCAAACGAGATGTTCAAGAAAATAATTAATGGTTTAATTTGAAAATACAAAGCATTTTAACACATTAGACGATTTTTTACTGACTTACTTTAAGCTGTTTAGCGTAGAATAAATTTTAGACAGAAGAAAAAAGGGAGTTCACGCGGGAACATTATTGTGCTATGAGGATTTTCCACGAGTTTAAGGCGAGTTTAAATCAAGACGAATACTTTAAACGGTTGAAATTACCATTTAGTGATGAATTTCCATGTCGTGTTACAGTATTCAGATATTTTAAAGAATTTTGCAGAAACCGCACTTCTCTTCAGGATGAAGAACACACAAGAAGGCTGCGGTAGGCAGTAATCCCGGATAATGTATCTGCCATACTAAAAATGTTAATGGGGGATAATCACTGTACCTACCAAATGATACAGAAGGAACTTAACATTAGATCCACAGCCATACACATAATTATTCATGAAGAGTTACAAATGAAAAAAGTAGTTTGCCGTTGGGTTCCCCATAATTTTACTGAGTACCAAAAAGAGGAAAGTGTCAGAATCAGTTAAAAACTCCTTAAATTGTTAAATGATGATGGCCATCTCATCATTTCTAAAATTGTAATGGGTGATGAAACGTACATACCTTTTTTGACCTTCCAAAACGTCAAGAAAGAAAAGTATGGGTTTTTGAAGAGGATTCCACGCCAACAATGGTGAAAAGAATGAGCAATGAAAAAGTAATGTATGTTGTTTTCTTCAGAAGAACGGGATTTGTCAAAGCCATCAAGTTGGAAGGATAGAGGACAGTAAAAGCAAACTGGTATACCCCTAAATATCTTCCAGAAATCCCCCAAACGTGAATGTTCGGAAACTAATGCTTCATCATGACTATTCATCTTCTCATACAGCCGGATTACCAGTTGAGTTTCCTAAGCAAAAACAAATTAAAGTGATGAAACATCCCCTTTATTCTCTGGTTTTAGCAATGAGTGACTTGGTTAATTTTTAATCTAAAAAAAATTAAGTGGACATTGTTTTCATTCAAAAGAAGAAACTCATGTGGCTATAAATGACTTTTTTCATCATTTCCAAGAAAAGAATGGTTTGAGACATTTAATCTGTAGAAAATTCGTCTACAAAAGTGCATTGATGCTGGAGAAGACTACTTAGAACGTTGCTAAAATTTTGTAAGTATTATTTTAAAAACCTAAATGTATCTCAAAAATTTCAGAATGACCCTCATATAAAGTCATCAAAATGTCATGAAAGGAGATAAAGGTTCGAAATACCTAAACTAATACCAATACGAGTGTTCTGTATGACCATGCAGGGGAATGAGTTTTCACCATTGTCTGCATACCACGACATTTGGCGACGTTTTTCGATTTGATGGTATCTACATCATACGTCTAAATCACATTCTACACTCTCTTTCATAGTGTTGCATTTTCTCTATATGTGTGTGTGTGGGCCTATATATAGATACATTTTTCAGAAACCTGTTATTGCTTTTTCAGTCCTTTTCAGTTGCAATTGAATTATGGCAATCTTGGGACGATTATCGCCTTTTATATCCCACCTGGGTAAAAAAGAACTACCAAGTCCTGGATTCCCACTGGTTGGAAAAGTTGTGGACTCCAAACATATACTTCGTGAATGCTGTCGAAGGTAAAACCAATAACATCATCACGCCCAGCAGTTTCTTTTGGTTGGGTCGCAATAAACGAATATTCTATTGTTGTAGGTGAGTTTACTTTAACATATAATTAAATTTTTCAAAGGATTCTTTTGAAAACTCTAGACATCAGCCAATAGAGTCTCTCTGTAAGATCTTAGTTATGGTCAAGAGCTCGTGGACGAAGCGTCATGAGTTCGAGCCTAGTGCCGCTGAAGATCCGCCGTAGAAGCACGCTAAATCTGTCGTGGCTCAAACGTCCTTCTAATTGACGTTATGTGGTAGTTTGGAGAGGGGATGCAAGCTCGGGTGTTCTCCTCTTCACTTGACCATTGTTCAAAATTAAGTGATCCGTCGCCAATAGCCTTCGTGTTGCTTTGTAGAGTGACGTTAATAAATATTCTCCCTCTCTGTAAAATCTGCCCTCCGTTGATGGTATTTTTTACTATACTTCCGAAAATCCCAATTGAGAATCGTTTTCCAAGTACTCTGAAGAGTTTTGAGGTTTATAAGTACTGGGTGTTTTTCGAATTAGGTCGTATAAAAAGTTTTTTATGTGAATGTTCCTAGTTATGTATGATTTTTAAGATGTCGAATCAAGTGTTTTTACGATTCTTTACAATGCCATTCAGTCACAGGACAGGAGTTGCTAACAAGTCGATCGCTTTCGACCTGCTGATCTCGAAAGCAAATTGCGTCGATCGTTTTGATGTGTACATTACAAAACCAAAACGAGTGCATAAACATACTAACTGTTCTTTTGGAAAGATGCGCCTTTTGGGTTTCCACCATGGGTTCATCATCCCCCATATCACAGGTGTTCTCCACACCTAGCTAGGGTGGAAAACTGCTTGACTGAGAGGAAGCTTAACTGTAACCTTTTTCCTTTTTTTTGTTATTATATACTTGGGCATTATCTTGTAAGCTGGAACGTAGAAGTGTTTGCATTAAATATGCTGTTTCGTTGAAATATTGATATTTATTTGACTTCATATTGTCTTACCTCAGAAGCGCACACAAAATTTTTTCAAGTGGGGTGGTCCATGGTCGAAACTCGTATCATACCTCAACTCGTCCCCTAACTCGTATCATACCTCAAGACAACACCAATTGATTCTTCTGATTTTGTTAACAAAAAACAGTAAAAAATAAATTATTGAATTAATAATTAGCATTAATTAATAAAACAAATTGTTAATTACTACTACTTAATTAAATCTTACAATATATATATATATATATATATATATATAGGATTATCATCAATCGAGAAAAACTCAAGGGCTTCGGGGACCCTTGGAGACCCCCCTTTTGTGCTCTACTGTCTTATCTACATCAAAGAACATTACTTAACATTTTATTACAGACATATACTGAAGAACCAAAACATTATGAACCCCTTCTCAATAACCCTTTGCACCACTTTCTGCCTGCAAAACCACTGCAACTCGATTTGGCTTGGATACAATTAGTTCTTGGTAAAAGACTGGGGACAAGGTGTACCAATTATCTCAGCAGTGGTCACGTAAAGTCGAGATATTCCATCCGACATGAAGATATTTGATCTCTAATCTGCCTTTCTTTCTCTCAAATGTGCTCTATCAGAATAAGATCCGCCGAGTTAGATCAAAGCCACCTTTAAGATCAGGCTGTGAGAGCGTTTTGATGACGTCACGAAAGAAGGGAATGCTTTACTACGCGCACTCACTCTGTGAGGAATATAAAGCCTACAATGTTTATTTCTTTTCAGGTCATAGACTAACATTTCCCCATTTTATGGATTATTTTTTTAAAATTTTCACTTAGAATATTTTTTGGTGAAAGTTATGTATTAATATGCTAGAATGATGTCTAATATTTTCCCGGAAAAAAGGACAAATATCACTTATGTATAAGAACAGTATAAGAAAAATCTAAGAAAAAACTGACTCACTGCATAGTAATTTCAATCAGATAAAATTTTTTGAAACAGAAACTTTACTTGCAAAGAAAATTTGAAAAGTAGAGCATATTAATAAACAGTCATGTGAATTTAGAAACATTTTGCTGGAGTTCCATTTTCCTGTGAACTGACATTTTTTTATGCCCATAGAATCAATGAATCATAACAAAAGAAAGAATTATACTTGATAACTTGATACTCTTCTATTGAAATATCATCTGATTTATTTGTAAGGCATAATATTTCGTTGAAATCCTTAATATCTACATTCAATAGCTCACCTGAATGATTTGAAATCAAATTGTATAGTACCATATTTAAATGAATGTAAATTTAACACACTTTTAATGCGCAACTTTTTTTTCACCTTGCAAAATTTCCTGCGCAGTGACATGATAATTTGATCCGGACATTTGTCTGTATTGCCGAAATCTGGCTTCTAAATTACATAAATTGGAACTTTCCAGTTAAAACATATTTGAAATTCTGCTCCGTCAAAAGATACTTTATTAGTTCTGAGATGATATTTACCAATCAATTATTCAAAGCAACCAATTTTTTCTTCACTGAAACAACCTTCTCGTTTATTTATTTTAAAATTTTTCCAACAATCCAGCCACTGAACAAATTTTGAAAAAAAAAATAAATAAATAAAATTAGAAACGAGCCTTACACTATTCGCATATGATGAGTAACATCTGGCATTTTATCGTGATAAATACGCAATAGTAACTTAAATCCTGAAAAAAATTAATTGGCTATGATTGGAAATAATTTTCTATCGAATAATTATATCTTTAATGCAATCTTTATTTAATTAACACAAGGAATAATGCAATTTTTTATCAAAAAAATTATTCTTGTTCAATTTGGG